TCATGTTTGCGCAGTCTCCATGGACGTGCAGACAGCTTCCACTGGATTAATTTGATGTCGAGGGAAACTGAATCTCCTGCAAATTCTTATGTTCAATCATTGAGGAGCATGCTGAATATTTTATTCTTCACTTCACGCTTTCATGTTAATTCTGCATGAAGTATGTTTTGAAGTGGCTGTCTCAACTGATGTATTTATAACTAAATACTAGGTTTAATCTGTAGTTATTTCTTTGAATTGCTACCTACTACTTATCACATATTATGTGAGTCACCTTTGTTGTTCTTATGTTTCAGTTCTGCTTTTAAAAATACGGTTCAATATGTGCACAAATTAACAGGTAAGTTTACTAAGCTATTAAAACCTTGAAGATTTGTTTTTCATATTATGTCACAAGTATTTATTGCAATAAGTTTCCTCAGGTTGGACTTGAGGGGAAAAAAGAGAAAGAGCAAGCATGTTTGGAAAAGTTTACTTCTAAAAGTACTTTTATTGCACCATGTTCTGAGCTGCTGTAACATGAATCAGACGGCTGAATTGCCATCTCAGCATGCATTCAAGTTCTATAGTCTTGCTAATGACCTACTAATTGTATTCAGCTGTGTTGCAACAGGGACACTTGGAAAAGTTTCACGACACCGGCTGGAGTTTGAGACCACTAATCTGAAACAACCCCTGTTGTCAAAAATCTCACTTGTTTTATACAGAATTTTACACACACTTGAACTTCATTAGTCTCTACCATTAAGAAATAGGTTAGATCAAACAATACAATCTACACAAAGAAAAAGGAATAAGATTATTCATCCAATTGTCAAACTCATTTGCACAGCTCAATGGTTTAAAAAGTTAAACAATACATACAATACAACTCAAAAAGGTTACTTTAAAGAAAATAAACAATGCTATTCAAAAGGAAACTCTTCATTTGACATCATGGCCCTATATAAACAGGAAGTGCTGGGTCGGCCCCTCCCACACACCTGTTTTGGATATAGGACCTGAACAGAGGGACAAACAAAGGTGAGTGTGACCAAAGCAACATAATCAAACACAGCTTGTTTGTAAAATAACATGGGGTAAATGATTAATATGTTTAAGGGACATGTGGTAAATAAGTTCAAGGCTAACCACTTTCTCACAGTCCTACACAGTACCTGCTATATATTGTTCCTATGAGTGGACTCTTTTGGACAGAGATCTCAGATGTCATTATTAGGATCTGCTTGGAGTCACTCACCCAGTTTGGGTGTTTATCGTTTTTGTATAGATAGATAGCAACACTATATTCAATGCATCTTCATTTTTAGGTCTGTAGATGTAAGGCGTTTTCTGTTGAAGAACCTTTGCTGCTTCTGGGCTACAATTCAACGTGGAAAAAAAGTAAATGAAATGTGTTGTTTGCCATATCCCCATTCAATCGCGCTGAACAGTTTGGTATATAGTGCAAGAGTTGTGTTTGAAAAAGAATCCCTGCATATTTATATAAGTCTGTGAAGAGCTTTGTGACAGCTATTAACCACCCAGTTATACTGTATGTGATGCTCTTCACTGATACAGGGCCAGCTAGTTTCAGGGGATAGCTGCTCTGTCAGTCTGTATCTAGGGCAGCCCATTATCAGGACACCAGAGACAGAAACAGTTGAGTTGTATTTGTCTTTCTTTTTATCCCTGATGATAACTATCTAGCTACTTACAGGAGGGGAACCACAGAGACAGGTGCAGCTGAAATTCAAACATATTTTAAACTCTACATTTTGGATTTTTGCTGAACTAAAACATACACTGGAAAGCTCAGATACTACAGCTAAACTCTACTTGTTCATGTAGTCTTAGCAGAGCCAAAACATCTTGGAACCACCAAAGAAGAGTGTCCAGTAAGATTTAGCAGTAAGATGTTATAGCACATACTTTAACTGCTTTTGTAACAGAGCTCGAACAGCAGATCAAATTGTCACTGCAGGTCCCCAGTACCCCTCCGATTCATGCCGGTCCCAACCACAGATAGTTGCCTCTAGCTGCTGACTAGAAGTACCCTCCATGTCTTTTGGCTGTGTTTTGGTGAGTGTACTGTGCAATATTACATGTATAACACTGCATAAAGTAAAAAAAAAAATCTGAATAAATGAATTACAAATAGACTTAAATTTTGTAGCTGTGAATTATAATTCAGCCAACTGGTAAATGGTTTAACTTTTGATCTCCTTCCAGTTGATGCTCATGGTCAAGTAATCCCACTAGAAAGGAACTGAAAGGTACCCTTGTGAGAAGTGAACCACTGAGACACAGCTTGATCAGGATTACCCCTGATCTCTGAGCAGTTTATTCTGTTGACTAAAGACTAAAGGTGGATTTCTACTTAGTGCAAGGCCTCAGTGTGACGTCAGACCTCACCTAATGTGTAGATTTTGTGTTAGTGTTTGCTGATTCAGGTGTCAATGCTATGCACTATAGAGGTTCCTGGACACAAGCGCAGATGCAGGAATAAAAGTTTAGGCAGTTTATTGAATAACAGATGAAACTGGGATGATTATGAGTTTCCAGGAAAGGGTAAGGCAAGGTGGTCTCCAGCTGGCTTTTTTGTCCATTCCCAAAATACAACTCTCAATCTTTACTGCCAAACAACACTCTCTTCAACATCTTTCCAAATCATAGTCTCTTTCTCCCAAGGTAAGGGGCATCAGAATATAAAGTCCAAAAAAATAAAATGAAATCACTCTTTCATAAAACTCATGATGACGAAGAGCTGAGCTCAGATACCGCATGCAGTTCAATAATTTGGTGTCAAATGCCTGCTAATAAGCCTCAAAAGGAATTAGGCGTGCATTCAGCAATGTCATCCAGGAGTGAAACAAAAGAGTGGAAGTCAAGTGAGCTCCACAGTAAAACAAAAAGGAAATGGCAATAAGTTACTTGTTTCATAGAAAAATAAATATGTTTTTCACCACACGTAATTAAGATGCACTCAAACTTGATGTGATCCAGGTTTTGTGTCAGAATTGCGACTTTCCATGCCTGCCATTCATGGAGTGTATAAAGGACACTTCATGTCCTTTATACACTCCTAAGGACACTTCATGTCCTTTATACTTCAATTTAACCCCAGAAGCAAGTGAATACAGTTGGATTTACTTTTCTTTAATTCATGTTAAGAATTGAAAATAAGTTTGTACTCAAACTTTTTCTTCTTCTTTTTCCTGGTATTTATTTCTGCTTAATATTCCTTCTTATCTTTGCCTTTTAAGACACTAAAAAACTCTTAGAAAATAAAGCTCTCATTTCCACAGATCACAATCTGTTTCCATCACACGAAGAGCATAGCAGAGTGTCTCACACGTTTACATTTTTTTGACCTTTAGATGCTGCAGTGTGAAAATACTTTTGAAGTCACATAACTTGTACTTTTCAGTCATTCAGGTCAACAAGGCTGTTGCTTGATAACAATTTGTTCAAAGATTTACACAGCATAGTGAATCAGGACTGTCTGAGAACCACAGTGGATAACTCTTCACACTTGTCCCCATTCATCATTTTGCAGTAAATTACCAAGACCATTAATTAGACTTAAAAAAGTCCTATTTTAGTACTACAATCAGAATATTACACATTTAAAATGATGGACAGTGCCCTAGTTCTCCCTGCAGTTAGTAAAGGAACAATAAAGCATCACATGGAGATCAAAAGCATGTTGGCCTCACATCACAGTTATGAGTACGATTCTTTGCTTCCCTTTGTATGGACTCAGCTTTATAGCTGTTGGGTCTCCAGGCATTTTATCAGCCTGTTGATTTCACTAATGAGTTTGTGAAGACTGTTTGTCTTGCATGCAGAGTTAAAAGCAAGAGAAAGGCATGTAATTTTCTTTTGTATATCTTTAAAGACTTTGATAGAATCAAGCAGGTCTCTATAATTGAAGCATAGAAAAATGGTGAGAAAATAATTGAAATGCTTTAGGGTCACAGAGCAGTTTTGTACCATTGTACCTAATAGCAGCTTTAATCCCAAATTAATTTTTTTAAATATACTTTATTATATATGTGTACGTATATAACATCACATTAGGTGCTTGCTCAGAAAAAATGCAATATTTTGGAAAATTTGGGGAAAATTTTGCATAAAAATTAGATTATAAAGAATTGCAAGCAAACGGCACCAATTTTATGGCCATTCAGTATTTGTTAATGAATTAGTTAATCTCATTGTGGCTGGATTAAGAAAAATAACGCAAATAAAGGAATCCAGTTAATAATTTTACTCGTATCATTACTTTCACCTTAGTCTTCAAATGTCAATGTTAACAATGTAAAACTTGGCTGCAAGCGCCGCACAACAAAACAAATCCCTGTCTTAATGAGGACAAGTATGCAATCTGTTAACATCACTCTGGGCTCTTGGATTCTTGGCTAGCTTTGCGTTAGCATGCTGTCTGTGTAGAGAGGAAAGAGACAAAGTTGTATATATTATAGTTGTATAGTATAATGCAGTATTTTGCAGATGAACTTCACTCTCTTATCCTTTTGTGCAATTAAAATAAATGTCCATATTGCCTGCCTCCGCCACATGACATCAAATCAGATGATTATAGTGCAAAAGGAAACCTTTGTAATGCAAGTAATGGCACAATTGCAACTGTAATGCCATTACTGACTTGCATTGAAAGCACCTGCAGCCTATAATAACAAAGCACTGCTTCATATCCCGTTGTATGTGTGAATCATGTCTTTGGTGTAAAGTTTTAACCAAAAGGTATCGTCTGACTTTTGTTTCCAACAAAACTTTTTCTTGAACTAAACTTTAGGTAGTGTATGACACAAAGGGAGACAAAGTAGAAGGGACAGAGATTGAAAGTGACAGTGACAGTGAAAGGGAGGAGGAGACTGATTCAGAGATATCTTTAGTTTGGACCGAATGCACTCCGTTTCACTTGTCTCCTTCATCCTGAATCTCTTTCCCTCTGATTCCTCCTGAGAGCTGACAAGTGGAAACAAAGAAGAGGCAGACAGTGACAGGAAAACAGCAGGGGTCCGGATGTGAGACCATGCAATGACTGTATGGGGATCTTCATTTGCTAAGCCCTTTTAGCATGTCTTACTGTAACATGCTCGAATTTTAACTATTTCAGCTATAAATGAAAGATGTTGTTGTGTATGCCTTTATTTTGTGTATCGAAATAATGGCAGTCACACAAACTACAAAAACTCTTTTGTACCTCAGGCCACATGCAGGTTTTCCTGACACTTTGACCTCTTCCCCCAGCTGCTGTGACAGGTATAGTTTATTGTTCAGGGATAACAGGTGTTGTCTCTTCTGTTCAGTCATATTTCTCTTTTTTTTTTTTCCCAGAGTCCTTGCTGTTTCACAGTGAAGCGCTCCCCACAGTTGTTACATGTCTTTTGAGGAGTTGAAAGCTAGTTGGATGACAACACTCCTGTGCTCTAAGGGATGTCATTCACAACAAATACAGAAAACTTTGCTTGACAAAACAATGTACTCTCGTTAGCTTGAGTGAAAAATCCAGTGAGTGGACCTTGGGTTTAAGCAAAAGGCACCCAACATTTTCGACAAGCTCATTATACAAAGTTTTTAATCATAGATACAATGTAAACTGAGAAATATGCCCTCAATCGTTGCTTTTTTGTTCAATAGTGTATTTCAAAAATATTGAAAATATTGTCTTCTTCACTGCTGATACCACATCAGTTCACAAGTTAATCCTATTTTCCATTTTCACCTCAGGATAGTTGAACTTGAATCCACTAAGGGCAACTGCCCACTTCTAACACTGAAGGCCAGTCTACAGTTTTCTGGCAGGGAATCGACAATACTCACTGAGATCGGATGTACTATTACCCCAAACAGTGACTTTAAACATCCTGCAGTGCTCTGGAGGTCAGGATATGATGACATAAGTGGTTAAAAGCACCGTTTTGCCAATGATTTTAGTATCGAGTATATTAAAGACTAAGGCAAACTTTGAAGAACATAAACAGCTGGGTCATGAGCTGATCATGAGCCAGATGTCTTTTACCAAAGGCCTGAGATTAGATAATAACTTTGCAGGTCAGCCGTGGCATGGCCATGTGCTTTGATAGGACTAAATATTCATCTAGTATATCTTGACAAAAAACTCAGGAGTTCCATGACTGTCTAAATAAAAAGGATTGAATGACGGTGGGGGGGAGGAGACAACATTGATGGATTTTCTCTAACTATAGGACTGCAGACATTGAGGTCCATGTTGCACTGAAGTCAGACCAAAGCAGTCACTGGAGCTAAGTGGATAATGTGAGGATGAAAAACTGTGTTCCTTCCACACAGTTTTTTTAAAAATTTTTTAATTGTCATATGACGTTATAATGGGACAGCAGTTCTCTGCATTTTCTTTTCTCTTTGTTGATGTGAAATAAAATGAAAAGTACATTTGGTCGCATGCAGTGGCGTGCTGCATGCATTTATGTGTGTGACAATGAATGAGGATGAGCCTTCAAGACGAGATGACTAATCTTGCATCACCAAGTGCCGTGTGTGACTAATACTTGCTGTCAGATTGTTGGCTGTGTACTTTACAAGGAGAGAAACTAAATACTTTTTCAAAGATTTTTTTTCTACATCAATTAAAAATGGTTAGTAATAAAAGTAAAAGTTGGAGATAATTTAGGTAGCAGGCAATATTGTCTGCCTCTTCATTTTCTCAGCATGTCATGGTGACCGCAGTCACTGTTTTCTCAAGTGTCATCAGCTCATCTTTATGCTGACCTAAGATAAAAGTTTCAGCCTTTTATCTTAATAGTTACATGGTCACTCTGAACATAAAGTTCAAACTTGACTGAAAACATAGTTTTGTTAATCACTGTCCTACTCCCACATGAACAAACTGTGCATGTATTTTTAAGCAAAAATCTGTATTTCATTACACAAGTCATAACCCTAATCATCAATATTGGATGTCTGCTGCTTTTCTTAAGTATTAAAAAGCTGTTTCCTCCTAGAACCTTGAATTATTTGTCTTTATTTAGGTTGTAGTAAAGAGAAATACCTATCATTTAAACAAAGATTCTCCGTTGGCTTTAAAATAATTAAGAAGCAAAGGAAATAGTCCATTTATTTGTTTAATTGTCACCCTTGATCCCACGAGTTAACTTAGAGGTGAATGAGGGTGCATTTGGGGGAAAACACTGAAATCTTTTATGTCATGCTACTCATTTTTGTTAAGCATAGTACACCCTGAGTTCATATTTGCATTTAAAGACATTTGATTTACAGTTTTTTCTTGTGTCTTTAAAATATTTTAATAATGAATTAGTCATAATTTAGCATGATTGTTACTACGTATACAAGCAGACCTTGGATTGCCATTTTAATGAATGCGCATAAATGCATAAAATAAGTGTGATTAAATATATTCAGATCTAATGGAGCAAGTACACTTTAGTAGAAGAAAGCTACTCTTGCTGGTATAGGGTCCAGCTCCCTCATGAACCTCTAAAATGTTTGATCTCACTTGCTAATTAATTTAATCTTAATTTTTGTACTTGAGTTTTCACACACTGGCTAGGAATAGACACCAAAAGCTACTTGGTTAAATTTAGCAAAAGGGATTACATTTACGGTCCTTCACTTTAACTTTACAAACTGAAAAATGACACTTTCTCAGTGTGTTTAAATGCGATGCCAAGCAGTTCCTGACAAGCACTTATATGTGACAATATGGGAGTAAGGCCAACTGTGCTGTCAATATAAATCCTGTGTAAAATGACCCTGACACCAAAGTCCTTGTATGTATATCAGTAAGCTGCCTGGACTCCATAGTAGTCAGACACTGGACATAGATTGACAGCATGCCTTATTATTTGTAATATTCATGAAGTATCAGTCCACCATTGACCCAGTCATTAGTCTCATCTTTATTGGTTTTTTGAGCTCTTTTTCAGGTCACAGTATTTCTAGCACTGCTCATGAGTGCAATTCAACCAGAATAATTTTTAAAAAAATGTCATTTCTAGGATTAGGTCCAGAGAAAAGAATGATCCCTATTGGGATGCATTTGATTACTCAAAGTTTCCTGCAAAACTGAGAGAAATCAAAGAAACTTTTCAACTTTTCAAGAATTTTTCACTTGAATATTTATGTATGACATTTTGTCAGAATGTTAAATCTCATGTTTTCTCATGACTTCATGCAGTGGTTTGATCGTTTGACACAATGTTTTTTTTTAATTGTTTGAATCTCTTGAGGCCAACTGAAACAATTAATGTGTCAGTCAATACTATTCCAAAGTTTTAGGATCTTTAGCATGCAGTCAACTGTTGTGAATTGGTGCAATATAAAACAAACTGAATTCAGTAGTTATTGATTTTATTAATATGTCGTTACTATTTCTCAGTAAGTGGAGGAACAGACACTTGGATGTACAGGCCTATGGGGAGTCAGTGGTGCTGTTGGCCTTTTGTCTTCCTGCAAGAAAAATGCATAACAGGACTCAGAGAAGTGCCTTTGCAGACAAATATAATGACTCACAGACGGCGGTAGACAAAAGGGTTTGTGAGAGGGCACGAGAAGCAAGACAAGAGTGAAAGAATGAGGGTAGAAATGCTGAAGGACAATAGAAAAATTGCAAACTGAGACACTGAATATTTGTCAGAATTTGGAGCATTTGTGAGGTTTTTTTTATGCATTTCCACTCCAGTGAATGAGAAAATGAGCTATGCAAAATGAAATGGCAACAGACAGAAAGAAACAGACTAGAAGATCAAAAAAGTAGATTAAATCACAATATGAATGAAGACAACAGGAAAGAGATATAAAAGGTGGGCAGAGAAGAGGGGGACAGGGGCTGAGTCAAGTACTGCAGGGGTGGAAGCTGAGAGGAGGCGAAGACATGCATTTAACTCATTGTAATGAGTTTCCTGGCAGGACGCGTGGGATATCCTCTGCTGCATGTTGCAGCCTGGGTGGTGACTCATTCGGAGACGGTGACAGAGAGAATATCTGTAACTCTCTTCCACCTTAAACTTTCTGCCATGAAATCATTGTCTAAGCTTCTGAAACCAAGAAAAGCTTCGCTGCTCTGTGTTGTCTCATAAATGAAAATGCATTTCACTTCACTTAAGGTTCTTTATGGCGAATTGTAAAGACTCGTTGAATTTACCACACTTTGTATTGGATAGCCATTTATAACCACCAATTTCTGTTTGAGATAATAGTGCATGGAAAAATAAATCCATCCAATCCACTTAACTGCTTATCCAATTCAGGGTCAGTTTACTTTCCAGCTCACTAATTTACTGTTTTGGTGTGTTTTGCACAGCGCTGTTTTCAGCCTCAACATGCTGGTAAACAAGTTTGAGCATTTAGCAGCAACTTTCCCCCAGGAGTTGGCAGAGAGGAAAAACAGCTAAAAGAAATTGCACATTGAACTTAACATTTGTCTGGTGCCAAGAAACGCTGCCAGAATGACTCCAAATGCAAACCAGCAAACTCTGCAACAGTGGGGTGTGTAAACAGGCAACAGTTGGATATTTATAGTTATTCGGCAAACATATGGAACAGTTAAATATTAGCACTGCTGAAAATGCTCAGAGTATTAAGGAGCAGATGTTGGAAATTAAGGGAAAGTGTAACTGTACTCACTAGTATCTATACAATAGAGCATTGTGATATAGCCTGCTCCTCTGAAAGAGCCTGTTATGCATAATTTGCTTAAAAACTCAACACACACAAGGCCATGGGTAAGTGAGCAGTGATGAAATTTGCAGGTGGGGTAAAGGGCAGCTGATAGCATTTTCAGATGCCGACATTATTTTATTTTGAGGGGGTTACATTGTGCCCTGTAACTGTCAAAAATGTTGTTATGTTCCCCCTAGTGATGGGGAATAAAATTAGTAGATTGGTTACTGAGTTTTCATAAATTACCTACATGAGACGTCTGCTCAAAGGCCACAAACTGTTATCCTTATAACACAACTTAAAGTCTACCAGTGTCCACTTACTGTAAACGTACTGGTGGACAAAATATTGCACTGTATAGATGCAGACTGTAATCTAAAGTTATACCAAAAGACTAAGGATAAAGGCCCCATCATTATGTGAATTGTGGGTTCAGCCAGCTTTCAGTGCAAAGAGAACTGAAAGCCAATTTAATCCAAGGCTGGTTAAGTGGGAGCAGCTAAAATTGGGGCTATGTGATTTAACAGCCTTTGTTCTCTGGTCTCTGCTCCTCTGCCCAGTGGACATGAATGGAATGAAGGAATGGAAGAAAGGCAGGATTCAGGCCTCCCAGCTAGAACAAGTCATGTGTCAGCAATCTTGCTTGTATCTCTCCAATTACCAGCCTCTGAGTGCACCAGGGGGAACTGTACCCCCCCCAATCCCCTACACACACACACACACACACACACACACACACACACACACACACACACACACACACACACACACACACACACACACGAGGCACCTAAACAGCTCGTATTCGCTATTCTACTGACTCTAGGCGAGCAGGTGTAGTAGAGTAGAACATGGTGAAATTATCAAAGTTCTTTGTGTGTAGTCATGTTGCACCATTATTACAGCTTTGCTCTGATATGGCCTGTGTTTGTTTAAACAACACATCAAATACCTTATCAAATAGCTTAACCTATAGCTATGTTTCAAAGATAGACACCATCCTCCAGTGTGACAGACTTGCCTCTTAGGGCACTGCTGCCGATCAGCAAGCAAAAAAGCATTTGTGGTTAATGTTAATAGGATGATTAATTTTTAAATGCCTACGTTTTTGAGGAAAAGGACGAGAGGGGTTTTTTTTTTTTCAGATTAGCTGCTATACTGACCTTCTTTGTGTGTTTAAGTGCTTCTCCACTTTTGGGTTGTTTTGTTTTTTTCACAGTAAGTGAATAAAGGCAGACATTTTCTTTTGCAGCTCCTCACCAACTTGTGTCTGATTTTAGCTGAGACATGTGGGAACTCTTTATTTCCATTGCTTTTCATATAGATATCAGTATACGCAGTGGCCCAGTGCTACTTTTGCTTGTCACTTTTTCTTTCTTTAAAGTTTAAAGTAATATTTCACTTTGCTC